TCCCCCCTCTCGGCCACTCTCGGACAAAAGGCCCTCTGTTCGGTGCCCAACCCGTCGGTCGCACCAACTCCGCTCTTCAAAGCTGGGAGCGACCGTCGTTCGTCGTGGTGACGGCGATGGTCGCAGCGGAGAGGACGACGGTCTTGGAGCCATGCGAAAGACCCGTGCCTGGATCAGTCTCTGGAGGATCCGTCTGCAAGCAAAGATCCCTGGAGGCCTGGAGGTGCTCCCTGACTGCCACCCAAAAGCGAGTACAGAAGCGAGTAGGTGGCTTGCACAAGAGCCAGTGGGCATTGAGAGCAACTTGGAAAGGCATTTTCTTCCTGAGCCCCTGAAGCCCTCTTTCATGATGCGAGGGGAGGGTACAGGTGTAGATAGGAAGTTCATATACATACATGTGGCGATGGTCTTCTACTATGACTTGAGCCTCCACCCACTCTTAACGGCTGTGCCGCCGCCTTTGATGTCTTTGATCATTTAACTAAAAAGGGTGTGGATCCAAAAAAAAAGGTTGTGGAAAGAAGGTGTGGTTCATGTTGGTTCTTATGGCAGGTGCCGTCCCATCGTTTTGAAAGATGACTACGTATTCTCAATTGTTACTCTCCACCGGGACTTCACACGGATGTGGAGCTCACCCGCGCAGACAGCAAAGGATTTCATGGTCTTCCGAAACGGGTTCATGCCATCCACGTAACCATGTTAGTTCCACGTAACCATGTACTTTAGGTTGTGCTTGCCTAGAGCCCATTTGACCTCCGTTTTGAAAGGAAAAGACCTTATTTTGGGTGGTTGGGTCATCCAAAATAGAGGTCATTCAGGTTCTAGGTCCTAGGTGATGTAACTATATACCTGGCCTTCGAGGCTATCCGTCTGCCTGCTCCAAATCGGGTTCCGTCTCCGCGGCAGCGTCACAAACGTTTTCCAAAGGCTGGACTGGCGCAGACGTCCACGACTGGACTGGTTGAAGCCATGGAAGTCTGGAACCCCTTGCAGCGTTGACCTGCGTTTACACACCACTTCCATCAACCTCCATGGACTTCTAGGAGACCATTGCTATTACGTTGGAGGCCATCGAACGAAGGTTGGAGGCCCCGTAGGTTGGAGGTCAGCACAAGTAGGAGGCTTCTGCTGATTCGAGTTTCACCTGCTGCGAAGGGGTTCCAGCGTCTCGCGGCCGAGTTGTCTCCACATGGCCGGCGTCGCCCCATTTCAGCGGCGCCTGGCAGCGCACGGCGGGGAGCACCAGTTGCCCAAGGCCACCCACGAGAGGCATCCAAGCAGCCTATCCAAGTTGTCCCCCAAAAAGCTGCTACCCTTGAGAGTCCACGGGAAGACTCATCTTACCCCGGCCTGGTGGGGTAGGTCATGAGTCAAAACCGAAGTTCCTGGTGTGTGGCGAACCCAACAGCAGCACGCTGGAAACACCGCCCCTAAACGGCGGAACCGCGAGAAAGCACGGCGCGCGACATCAACGCCGCCCGCGGCGCGTTCGGCGCCTGGGTTTCATCATTGCTGCACCAAGGGGAAGTAGACATGATTTGGACCCACTAGGAGCATCAGCGTGCGCTCCTCTCGGGCGCTGCCGGGGGCGAAAAACGGAGGAACACCACGGCGAAAAGCATCACCCGCTCCCGCCCGTGGTAAGCGACGAATGGATGTGCAAGACGAAGCGAGACACAAGCAGTACATGGCACTGCTGCGGTGCTCAGATGGGCAAAAACACCTCGTTGAGGTAAATTCTGACGAACACGTCACATGGAAGTGGATGGCATGGTCCCTTGGAAGACGACTTTCCTTTGGAAGCAAAGGGTTTTCCACTTCCATGTGATGTGTTCGTCGGAGTGTAGTTTGCAACTGCTCCATCGATTTCCGGAGGAACGCTCCTGTCATCCATGTCTCAGTATCTGTCAGGCTTGAAAAGAGCAGGGAAAGGGAGGAAGCAATACTCGTCCTACTGCCAAAAAACTCCAGCAAAACGGATATACCAAATGCCAGAACTTCATAGAGCTTCTAAAATCACATACTTTTTCTTCTTTACAGGTCTCTTCAACGTCCCAGTCTTCCCGTTGTCTTCTCCGCCTTGGTCGCGTCTACCCCACACGGCAAAGCACGCCTCGGTCTCATAGCCCATGCAGCTCACCTTCACTGAGACGCAGCCCTCGGCCAAGGCCGCTTCGAAGGCGTCCTGGCGGTTGGCCAAGCGTTGCGGCTTCCACGGGTGGGAAAGGAAGGATGGGGATCCAAAGCGCACGGCGAATTGGAGTTCATACTAATATGATGTTGTTGTTGCTGTTGTTGTTGTTGTGGTTGTTGTGGGATGCTGTTGTTCTAGACCATCGATTTTTGTCCCGGGGTTACTCGTCCCATGCAGCAATGCAGTTCTTTCTTTTGGGGTGCATATCTTCTATTTCTGCATTCTTCGGGTCTTATGACTAGACTAGACACTTGCAGGACTAGATCCATCAGGGCGCTCGTTGACCTCTCTGCTACATTTCTCGTTGAACTCCTGATCCTACGAAAGCCTTCGAAGCCCCCGAAGAACCACCGAGCCACGAAGAATCACCCACCTGACTCACCTCCCGCAGGGGTCTTCAACTCGAATGGCAGGGCCAGGCTGCCTGTCCTCGGCAGTGTGTGGCAAAGCGAGCTGCTTTCCATTGGCCTCTAAGCAGGTGACTTCCACCTGTGCAGCGCGGTGCTCCACGCGTGGTTCGCCACGGTGCTCCACGTAGCACGCTGAGAGAACGCTCGGCGAGACGATGGGGAGGTCAGGGTGGACTGGTAGAGATCACACTTGGCTGGACCTGTCTGCCATTGAAGGTGAGAAGTATACCAAGTAATTAAAGAGTGGAGTTCACCAGAGGGGAAAAGAAAACTCCAAAGGAAGTTGGTGCCTGGTGAAACGTGTCAGCCAAATCATGTAACATCCAAAGAGGCATGCAAAAAGGACAGGGGCTTTATATGATGCAAGGTGCATGGTTTGGACATGCCACATGGAGGCCATTTATATAGGGGTCATTTGAAGTCGATGAAATGAGGGCTGCGGAGCTCTCACGGCCTTGGATGGTTTCTGGACATCGAACTTGCTGAACGTCAAGTAGGGTGTGGGCCACCCAAATACCAAGAGAGGTAGCCAGTGACCTGAACTCGGACCTGTCACCTGGGGTACCGAACTGGGAGAGTCGAACGTTCGGGTCCTGACCCACCTCTGTTGGAAGACAGCTAGCAAATAGGCCCAATCATCCAATTAGCGCGCGAGTGAGTGCAGCTGATGATGATGTTTCCATTCGTCCAACTCGGCCACCCCACCAAAAACTGTCTGCTGAACTTCCACCTCTCATTGTCCTGAGGTTTTGGGGTCCCCCTCCGGACATTTGGGTTCTGTTTCATGTTCCCGGTGCCATCGGGTACATGAAGAAAGTGACCACCTTCGCTTGAGGTATTGCTTCTCGATCTTCAGCCGCCCAATCAATGATGCCAAACATCTCCTGCCGTTGTGACGAGGTTCAGCTCGTGTGGTGGAAGGGATCGGGTCTACCGAGCTCTCGAGCGTGCAAAACACGCGCACCTGAGGTGTCCACGAATGCGCGCTGCTTAGCGAGGAAGTCCGGGTTCTCTACGAATCTCTTGGTCACAGCCTGCATTTTATAGATCTTAAGAGGCCAGCACCACCCACCCTCATCCACTGATTACTTAGCCCTATGCGATCTGGGTGCACTCTCTATCCATCCGACTCGCATCGCTCCTAAGAGCTGGGAGGCTCAGCAGTCGAATCTTTGGAACATGCATCCAGCTCGGCCAACAAAGGCAGCCTACGCTGTTTTTGTGACCTGTTTGCGGGTTAGCTACCCGAAATGTCACTTCCGAGGGCAGCCGCTTGGCACTTGGGGCCTTTCGACTGGCAGAGAAATCTCAGCCTTTCGACCTGCCTTTCGGCCACTTCGGCACCACCCAGACCAGACACGCTCTTCCTCCGGAACCCGCTCGAACCGGCGTCAGTCGGAGGTGTTCACGTTCTCGCCTCCGTCACCTCCGGCTGCTTGGAGGGCATCCGGAAGACGTGTACGGACAAGGAGGCCTCCGCCTGGCAAGAGAGGTAGCCAGTGACCTGAACTCGGACCTGTCACCTGGGGTACCGAACTGGGATAGTCGAACTAGGGTCCCTCAACCTCTGTTGGTGGCTGCGGTGCGCTGGATGGATGCGGTGCCACGCGCCACCCTCGAGTCAATCGAAGCCATTCGAAGGCGTGAGGGTGGGGGGGGTGGAGGACGTGTTGGCGGGAACACGCCGGTCCAGTTGGGAGGGAGTCACCGTGTGTGGCTGGGAGATGCTGGGAGTGGATGGGAGTCTTGATGCTCTCGATCTTGGAATTGGGGGATGGCCCGGATGGCTTATCATTAGTATGCTCACTTCGTCAACATCGCTGGATGGGTTCCAAGATGTTGAACAAGGGGTCGACCGGTCTTGGCTTTATTCCCCTTGTCGACCTCACAGAGAAGAGCGAAATCACATCTCGGACCTTCCTCACCCAGCAGGAACGGGCCAGGAACGGGTTCCAAGTCTAAAATACCCGTTTGCCAGGACCTTCCCATTCGTGACCTTGAAACAAGACCTAGGACCTCGTGACCTGTTCGCCACTGGGATCTCGACGGCCACGGAGGCGTCCCAGAGGGCAGTGGTCCAACTTTTCCCCCACCAAACGACCACGTCGTCGACCAGTCGTACGACTCCACCCACCAAACCTGTGGTCTCTGCGATCTGTTCCTTGATTTCGGAGAGGAACCATTTCAAGGAAACGTCCGTTGGCCATCACGTCCCTTGGCCTCTAGAACGTTCCAAAATGGACATCTCTTTGACTTGAAAATCGGTGTTTCCCGAACATCTCTGCTCATGCCAAAGCTTTAAGACCTACAAAAACTATAAGATCAACCTTTCTTTGAATGGGATCATGTCCGAGATCTCAAAGACCCTTTCCCCCGTGCGTTTCAAGACCTAGCACCTAGGTTGGAGGCCACTCTTCGGTTCCTTCAGCGGCCATCTCTTTCCTCCTAACCTTCTCCCGGCACCGGGTGTCTTCACCCCTCGCCTTGGGCAAGAGCTGCACCGTCAGCGTGGTCACGCCCTCGTCCAGGCTCTTGAGCTCCGATCCCATCAACGATACCTGGCCGTACAACCACCGTCTTCCACCGGTGCCGTACGGTGAAGATCCCTGGTGGTGCCGGGTGATGCGTAGGTGCCGGGTGACGTGAGTGTTTTGGGAGGTCCAAGAGGTGCACGAATGGATGATGTGCTACGCCAGGGCAAAGTAAAGAAGATCCTTTTGGAGCCGAAATCGGGGCATGAAGTGAAGCCGTGCTTCTCGCGAGGATCGCAAGCATTCTTCAACGTGATAGAGCATTTTTTGAATCGTTTAGGTTGCTTTCTTGAAGGAAACAACTAAGAGTTCAAATGCCATCAAATCATGAACCTCATCCAGATTGAATGACTTGTTTCCTCTAATGCATGGAATGAGTTCAACATAGTTCAACCGCACCGCGCGGCCGATTGGCGCCTCAGTCCCGTGAAACAGGTCCGTCTCCGCCACCTGGGCGACAAGGCCAGCAGAGGAGTGTGGGACAGTTTTGCCCCAGAGATCTGTTTTTTGGAGTGAGTTGCTCTATGAGGCCTATGCCGGGTGGAATTGGATGCTTTTGAGTTGTTGTGGCATACCATGCCTTCTGTGGGACAAACACTTGCATGTCTTCAACGACTCCAATGACAGCTCTCTCCCCACGGTCTGACTTGCACTCTGCCCCCTGCTCCCCGCGCGCCTGCACTTTGTTGAGCGCGGCCGGTAAGAAGCAAATTTGCGCTTGCCCTGCTTCGTCAGTGATGGCCTTCGTCAGTGGCGCCCAGTTACGACCGGAGGGGGCCATTGGGGGGTGAACGGATCTGACACCTTTGCTTGTTGAGTGGGGATACCTCCCCCGATCCACCCCGCGACAAAGGTTTATCAAAGACTTTGGCCTTGTTGGTTGAGGGTGTCACTTCGCATGGCAGCAAACATCTACACTCCCTCGAACGCACCCTGCTTGGCCTTCGGAAAAAGGTCTTACCAGGGGGCCATGTTCCACCTCCATGGAGGTTTCAGGGAGTGCATCAGACTTGGATTCTTCCAAATATGCCACAAGTTTGAATTCAGGTTGTTTTTTCCGACGAAAGGCGTTTCTTGCTTTTGGCTTGCAGTAGTTGCAGCGGTGGATGACTATCAGGTGGGTAGAGACCAAGTTCGTCACTGTTCGTCAAGTTCTGGAGATTATTTTTGGGTTGAAGTTCTATGCTGCCAGATCCCAGGCTGGAAGGCACAGGTTCGTGCAGAAATTCTGCTATCGCCGTGCGCGCTTGCGCGCGAAGCGAACCTAGCGTCGAAAATACTGGCGCATCGGATCTGCTTGACTTCAAAAAGACTAGCTCTTGGAAATGCAAGGGGCGAGCTCCTCCGAATGATCATATATACAACATGCAGGCTCAAAGCCACCCAGGACAAGTTATGTCAGCTATGTTTCAGCCACTGTGAGGTCAGTCCTGATCCTGGTGCACAACGAGCGGCGCGCTAGCACACAGCTTGTGTTTTCAGGAAGACTCTTACTTGCTGCTTCATAGACTGCTTGTAACATTTGCCGTTCAAAAAGAACTCGTGGACCTTTTTATGACCTCCTTAACGGCGACTCTTGGCATCCAAGGGACAGTGGTTTCTGGGCAGCTGGTACCATGTGAGCAAGCACCCCGTTTCAGCTCCAACATCCAGAATCATATCGGCTCGTCATTCCATTTCTTGTAGATTTGGTTCCAACATGTTCCAATTTCAATTCTTCTTCTTTCCTTTTTCTTTCCTTCTTCTGCCCACCTCCAGTGTTTTCCTGGCTCTTTCGGCCCGGAAAACACGAGAGGCAGCACCTCACGACGCTAGTCGTTAGTCAATTGGTCCACCGGATCAGTACCCAGCTCCCCCTCCCATCACATCCCAAACCTGGAAGGGCAAGGGCTGGCATTGGCTCACGTGCACTGCATCGGATGCCTGGGACTCGCGCGGCATGCGCGTGGCCCCTCGTCCGCGGCGAGGTCTGTGGCTTCCAAGATGTGGATATGGCACAAGTGGCGGCACCCCAGAAGTCTTCGGTTTTTCTGTGGACTTCCAGCTGTCCAGGCCACCACGGTATATGTTCGGTGCCGTATTGACCTCATCCCGCCGGCCATTTCGGGCCGCCGGTCCGGACATTGAAGCGATGCGAAAGCCGAAGAGCCGAATAATATAGTCTTCCTGGCCCACCAACAACCATTGATAGGCGGGTCATCCCGAATCAACTAAGGATTATACACTGCAAAAACCAGGTCGGTTGATGTGGTTTTAAATGGTCGAACGGAAGTCTAGGGTAGCAAATCCCTAGCCTTCAAAGACCATTAAAAGAACGGTTGAGCTGGTGGTGTAGTGTAAAAATCCTTAGTAAAACAATGGTTCTTTGGGATTCAGACCATTAAAACAATGGTTGTTTGAATCCTAGGGAAATGATAGCCCTTACCGGTCTTGCGGACCTCATTCAAGGTCTGGTCAACACCCGTACTTCACGAGGTCTTCCGGACCAGGTGAAGGCGCCAGGTCCGCTGGAAGACTTCCAACGGTCCGATGCCCCCGGAACAACCCCCCAACACTAGATCCCAGACACGACCTGTCTGGGACTGCCATAGGACTGCCGATCAATTGACCCCCATGGCACCACCCCTGGCCTGATCGGCATATATATATATATATGGCAGTCCCATGGAGTGTTTGGGAATTATAAAGCCCTTGGAATCTCCATCAGGACCACTTCCAACCTCACAACTCCTCACAACTTCAGAAACATGTAGACCCTTAGAAGATAATTTCAACCTTCCAAGCCTGTTTGGAGGTCTTATAGCTGGTCTTGCCATCCATGTCTAGAGTGAAGTATTTCAGTTGAACAAAAAGGCCAGGCCACTTTTAAGACCTTAAAAGCAACTCTAAATCTACCATTCCTTCCATCATCCCCCCCAAGCTCGCAGTCCCCATCCCACGACCGCCCTCCTCCGCTCGCTCCGCACCGGCCTCCGAGGCGAAGCCACGCGGGTGACAGGCCAGGACCGTGACCTGAGCGCCGCCCAGCGACGCCACGGTCTCCAGCTCCAGCGTGGCAAAGTCCCCTGGTCCCGCGAGGTCCGGGCGGTCGCACGAGCGACTCGGAACACGAGTGGAGCACGGTGGGTGACAGGCGTGACAGGACCAGAACATGTCATTCTTTTTGAAGGATCTTTTTCGTGGCTGGGGCCCTTTCACCCAGCGTGTTGATCGAACAAAGTTGGAGAAAACAAGCAAGGGCCCACCAGGTTTGGCAAATCCAAGTGGGGGGGGCTTTTGTTCATCAACAGTCTACATTGTTACATGACACTGCGTCGCTGGCCACCTCCGAGACATCTCAACGTCGAGGCAGGCGCGCTTGACTGCGGCTTGATGACGGACGTCGAGGCGCGGAAACCGCCGCGCCTGCTTGCGGTGAATCTAAGCTCAGCTGGACTTTCAACCAGCGCTTGGCAAAGTAGGGCTCGATCTCGGTGAAGATCGCGTCCACCTCTCGCACGAGGCGACCGGTGACTTCGAAGAGATGCGTTCGATGCATGGTGCTCCTTTCCAAAAAAGGACCTACTACTAGTATATAGTATGGTGATAGAGCGACATGAGAACATCCAGGGCGTTCACACATAATTATAGGACTTATACCAGGCTTCTCACCCTGTTCATCTTGCGTGCCACCCTAATGCTTCAACCCTAACGGTTCAACCTCAATAAACGCATCCCTGGCCAGCACATCCATCCATCTTCACTGCCCATGTTCTCCACCATGTTCTCCACCATCGCTGCTCCTTCACCGCGTTCTCCCCCACGCCTCGTCGAGCTGGGGGATCTTCGGATGCGGCACGGTGTAGAGGCATCGCCCTCGCACCGTGCCATCCAGCGGGTCGCTCCACAGCAGCAGGACCTCCCGGCGGCACCGAAACCGCCGCGACCGGACCGGAACGGTCGCGTGGGTCGGACCGGCGAGGATGGTGGGAGCTAGTGAGGACGGTCCGAGCTAGTGGTCGCTGGGTTGAAGATGGGTGTGGCACCCTGCCTTTGTTTGTGGATGAGGTGAAGCAGAGTGGACTTATGGACATGCGTTCTTGATCCATGATTGCTGGTTAAGATCGATCCTACCCCTGCCCTCCATATTATAAGATTTGATAGGCACTGATCGGTTCTGCGCCTGCAGTCGACCTCCAATTTCGTGGTCAGTGGCAGCTGAACGGCCCACGAAGCGGGGAGATTCACCAGCGAGGGCACACCTCAAGAACGAAACCCCAAAACCTCTCCCTTCACAGAGGCGGCTTTCCTTGGGCCCTTTGTGTTTGTCCCCTCTCCTTCTCGCGCCCTCACCCTCTCTGCAACGCCACCGCCTTTGTCCCCCCCAACCTCGCGCCGTCTCCGAAGCCACGCCCGAATCCGCGCGCTTTCTTCGCGCGTGGTTGGCGGATCTCGGGCGCCTCGAGGGTGGGCAGTTGATCTCGGCGGTAGGGATGTTGTCGGATCCCTTCGGGGATCTCGGTGACCTGATACTCCGCCACCTGGGACCACAGGTCGAGGTCTCGTCAACCGGACGCGGAAAGAGCTACACAGGCAAGAAACGCGAGAGTGCGCAGCTTTGAGAAAGAAGTCTCAGTGTTCAAAGAGAGGAGCTTCTTCAAGAGCCACTGACAAGAACTACCAGGACCTTCCTGTCGGGGTGGCTGGAAGTCCCAGCCATCAGGGACCTCCAGGACACCTGAAGGTCCAGGTCTACGGCATCTCTGGTGCTCCGACTCGCCGAGTGCGCTCCGGGCCTCTGGACCTTTGTGGAGGCTGCAGCTGTTCGTCGTTTCGTGCAGCTTCAGCCACAGCTCATGCTTCACCTGCAGCTGTTCGCTTTTGGACTCAAACTGGCAGGAGGTAGAGCCTTTCTTTTGTGAGGCAGTATGGGTCAAGCACTCCACACGCCGCTTTGGTGCATAGAGGCAGCATCAAAGAGACAATCTTTTGAAAGGTTCACTTCCAAGCGTTCAAAAATCACATTAGCACTTACTTCCCAGCTCACACAATCACGCATGGAAACATGTGTGGTTTCACCAGAAACCACATAAATAATAGCCCACCGGACCAATTACGCGTCTGCATTTTTTTTGGAGGTAACGCCCACGTCCACTCGTTGCTGCCGAAGGCACATGTTCCAAAATGATCTCGACCATTGATCCTGTGCGTTCGATGGCGTTTGGCGGGCGTCGTGGGTTTTTGGGCACCACCGATGACGCATTCGCATCTGGCTTACATACCCGCAGCTCTCGTGCTTCTAGATTCGCGCGTGTCCCGGGAGTGGGTGGGATGAACAGGGTGACAATGCATGGTTTGTTTGTTACATGTAAAGCCAGCCATGATCCTTTTGTTGGACCTGGTTTCTGTGTGTGTGTGTCTTTTTTTGGGGTGGTTCTGTGAACATTTTCCACGCGATGATGGAACACTGCATTCATTGTGAAGGCTTCAACAAGTCTTTTTCACGGACTTTATAGCAACCCATTCTCAAACACTCCATGTGTGGAAGAGTTGCAAAACTTACGCTATATTGATGACCCAAATGTTGGTAACTATTCCATGGAGTGTCAGGGATTGGATGGTTTCCTCCGATTTCTCGGTTTTCAGGCGCCACTCCGCCCAAAAACCACGGCGTTCCTGCCGGGGGGACGTCGTTCCACCTGAACCTCGCGGTGAACGTCGGGGTGTCCGGATCTTGTAGCCTAAACGTCACTGGTGGACATCCATGTGTGCCATATATGCTGCCCCATTGACCCCTCAAACGTAGGCATATACCCAAACACTCCATGGGACTGCCATATATATGCCGATCAATTGGGGTGGTGCCATGGGGGTCAATTGATCGGCATATATGGCAGTCCCATGGAGTGTCTGGGATATGGCACACATGCTGCGGATCCCACGCCACGATGGACGGAGCTTCGGCCGATGGCGACGCTCGGGTTCCGCCCAGTCGGCCGACTTCATCCAGTGGCCTGGCCTAGCTTCTCGTGGGTCCTCTGCCTTGGCGCCCAGGAATCTGGGGAAAAAGCGATTTCTATCGTTGCTTGAAACAAACTCATCGGTATTAGGTTGGAGGCCCTTGCTAGTAGGTTGGAGGCCATCGCTACTAGGGGGAGGCCATAAGATTTCTGGTCAAATACCGAGATGACAAGGGAAAGCGCCCAAGGAATCTGAGGCAGCGTTTCTTTTCTCTCATGAAAACAACCACACCGACCATGAAATAGATAAAGCGGCTTCCCGGCGCTACCGTCCATCATGATTTCCTCCATCCGGGCTCCAGTCGTACCTCCTCAGGTGTGGACCCTCCTGGCACCCGCGCCCCCAGTCTCCAGTCTCACCGAAACGAAACGGAAGGTACCTCCTCAGAAGGTGCCTCTGAGGTGCCTCCTAGGGCTCCAGTCGTACCAAGTGCCGGTGTGACTGGACCCTGGCACCCACCCCAAACACCGAAACGAAACGGAAGGTACTTGAAGCTCTAGCCCGAACGAAGATCCAGTTCGACGATATGTCTTGACCGGCGGAAGTGTTCAGGAGGTTTCCGAAATCAGGTCCCCGTTCGTCAGACCATTCGTTTTATACCAGGACCCTCCTGTCGGGGTGTCCAAGGAACTACCCCACACTACCTATATAGGCTTTCATTGGGCACCCCTCAGAGGGTCCAGGTAGTCTTTGACTCCCAGGGCTAGGCTTCGGCTTCTACCGAGGCACTGGAGCCGGTGGGCGACTTTCATCATCCCCGGGATGTCGCGCGCCTCGGGCGCGTTCGGTGGGGCGAACAAGGCCGGCGGCGCCGGGGGTTTGGTGGGAGAAATGGAAGACATGCCATTTTGTGATGGAAGAGAAGGACTCCCTCATGGCAAGCGAAGGAGACAGTTGCGCACTTGGGCGAAAAAGAAGCCTCAACACCCGCAAACATGACCAGAAGGTTGGGGCAGGGTCACCTTGTCGCCACAACAAGACCCTGGGAGTCCAGTCGACGATCAAAAAGAATGGTCTTTTGATGATCCGAAGTGGAACTTCCAGTGGGGAATGTATAGACTTATTTGGACTTCTTGGGATAAGCTTTGAGATGAACATCATCAGTCATGTGGCTTGGTTTGGGTGATGGTGATGAGAACCTTAGAGGTCAGTCATTAGAGACTTGGCACGAAGAAAACTTGATCAGCTTCTTCAGTTGCGTGACCTGCGTGGAGTTTTGGGTTGGTGACCCTTCATAGGCCGAATAAGTGACCTTAAACCACTAAATCAGGTCAGGTCACTTGGAAGAACCAGGCGTATTCAACGTGACGGTCCAACTCCTCCCTGGTCCAAAACAGGCCAGTTAAGTGAAAGTTTCGGATACTCTCCTTCGAACTAAAATGGAAGTGGAAAAAATACCTGTTTGTAATGGAACATGGTCTTCCTTACGGGGCCATGCTCCGCTTCCATGTTAGTTCTAGGGAGCGTAAGTATATTAGTTGACCTCCCCGATCGTCTATTAGTGATGGTCAGCCAGGGTGTCAAGGTGCGACCCTCCTGAAGGAGCTCCAACGATCCGGTTTGAAAACACTGCTTCGATTCACTCCTCCCTTGTCTTCCAGCCACCTCGGACGGGTATAATAGAGAAGCCCCTAGAACTTCCGGGACTTGATAAACTTTGGTCCTACATGTTTCTACTCCAGCTCATCATCCACCAGTAGCATCCAGTACCCAGGCCAGGAACATGCATGCGTATCATTGTATCAAACGAGTCGTTTTCTTTCCTGGCAAACGAGTCGTGGACGTCCTTGAGGACGAAACCCCACGGTCCTTGAGGACGCTGCGACGGTGAAGATGAGTCGACCATGTTGGAAGTAGTGAGGTCCAAAGGCCTCGCGCTCTATGTCGAGCACATAGTAGAAGAGGCAGTGAAGAACGAAGTCAGGAGCCGGAACGGAATCTGGGAAAGTAGGGGAGGGGCTGGTCACTAGAATGTAGCATGAGTCATGATCTGTTTCACTCCCTATCCGACAAAGCCCTGAATGTTTCAGCATGTGGTTCGTTGGGACACCTGCATGTGGGATGGTTTCTTTGGATGCATCTTGATGCGAAAGGGGAGCCCCAAACATGTCGTGCCTGGGCAAACACCGTCAGCCGTTGGGCTGAAAAGAACTCTTCGAAGACAAAATCATCAGCTCCCAAACGATTGGCGCTGGTTCCGGGAACCAATGGAAAGCATATGAAACCCTAACTACAACTCAAACATGTTCACCAACATCTTGTCAACATAATTACCCCAGCTCACCACTGGTAAACATGAATGATCTTCCAAACTTGCCATGCAACGTTTCATCAGGCCACAGGGACCCACCTCATCCAACTGTGCCAATTGCACTTCCGCCGGTGCTTTGGGGCCCGCCATGGGTCTGACTACGCCTACGCGTGGCTACAGTCAGCCCCTCTCGCTGACGATGCGCCCCTCGGCTAGCTCGACCTACCTTCGAAGTAGAAGGGTCGTTCCGTGAGAAACCGATACATCGAGCCAAGCGGTACCAGTACCCGACACAAACATCTCACCTTCTAAACATGTGGGCCGGTTTAGTTGCAGCATTGGAGAAGGGTTCTCTTCGACAATAAGGTAAACCCTATAGCATGGAAGGCCACTCAACGTTCACATCTTCTGCTTGCATGGGTGACCTGAGCTGACTGCCAAGTTCCGCGCCAGGTGTGTGCACCACAATTCAACTCAACATCAGCAGCACAGGACCCTTGAACTTGCTGACTGCCTTTCCGAGCCACCTATCTTTCCATGCCACCTCTCTTTGGAGCCAAAGAAACGTCAGCAAGGGCGGCCCACCATGCTCTGGATATCCCATAGGGGGCAGGGCTCTTGTTTGCAGAAATTCTAGCTTGGTGATGACCTGATTCGCAAACACAGTTAACCACAAAACACAGTTAACCACATGGGAACATACATGGAGAACCTTCGGAAAAGGAGTCAAAAAGGCAAAGACAACCAGACTCTGGCTGAGAAAAGCTGCACATGGTCCTGCACTCCATGCGAGGGCCAAAAAAGCAACAAAAGACTCCTGTCCTGTAAATCATCGAGATGTGTGGTCCCTTGGGGACAATACTCCACATGGGATTTACATTGGAGAAATTGCCTCAAAAACTCGACCTGAAGTGGCAAACTTGGGAGGACTTCAAACCTCACCAGCAATACTGACCCCCTCAGTCCTGCAAAACACACCTTTCTTCATCCTCTTTTCACCTGTTCGTGTTTGGAGGGTTTGCCCATCCCAATCAAGGTCAACTGCACAGGGTCGTCCCGCCGGTCAGCAACTCGACCCGAACACGTTCGTTCCACCGAACCAGGAACCGACCTCCAAAACGCGCATGGGAGCGGCACCGAACACGGCGCAACAAAACAGCGCACCGATGCGGGGCGCGGAGCCTGCGGAACCTGCGGCGGGCTGCCCAACAACCCTGAGGGTGCCCGGACCACGCCAGGGAGCACTCCATTGGTCATATCCTGAGCGGAGATCTGAGTCTGCGATCCAAAACGGATCTGACGACTGTCGCAGCTGACGACTGAGAGCAGATTGGGGTTGAGGATCTTGTGGACGCTTCGGGTTGAGGATCTGGCGTTTTCCAGCAGCTGCACATGAATGAAACTGTAAGTTTATAGAACAAAAACCACCTACCAGCAGTCACAAAGGGGTTAGGGGTGCCCAGAACATCCACCTAAACACCTTCATCTTCTCCTTCGCCTTCACCACCGTGTTTCAACGGGTGACCCCCTGGCCCATCTCCCGAGTCTCCCGGCCATGACCGCCTTCCCGGCCACCTGGCGGGACACCGGTTCCGCCGGACCGGAGGTTCGGTGGTTGGGGCCGCGTCGCCCTCGCCGTCGGAACCTCGGCACTGCCTTCTTTGGAAGGTTCGGTTCAAGGCCGACACCGTAAGGTTCGGGGTGAAGGAGGTCTTTGGAGGGTCTGAGTCGAACTCCGGATGTTTTCCAAGTAACGCACCGAGACCCGTCGTTCCTTGGACCAGAGT